TGGGAGTGGAACGCCCCATTTTGGGAGCATGCGGCAGAGGCAGAGGAATTTGGAATGGGGGATCGCATTCTTGCAGGAAGGTGGGTGAGAGGAGGTGTAGGCTAAGTAGCTGTGGGAGTCAGTGGGCTTGAAATAGATGTCGGTTTCGAGGTGGTCACCAGAGATGGATTCAGAGAGGTCCAGGAAGGAGAGAGAGGTATCAGAGATGGTCCAGGTGAACTTGAGGTTGGGGTGAAAGGTGTTAGTAAAGTTGATGAACTGTTCAAGCTCCTCGTGGGAGCATGAGGCAGTGCCGATACAATCATCGATGTAGCAGAGGAAAAGATGGGGGATAGTGCCAGTGTAGCAGCGGAAGAGGGACTGTTCCATGTAACCAACGAAGATAGCTTGGGCCCGTGTGGGTTCCCATGGCCACCCCCTTAGTCTGTAGGAAGTGGGAGGAGTTAAAGGAGAAGTTGTTAAGGGTAAGGATGAATTTGGTTAAGCAGATGAGGGTGTCGGTGGAGGGGGTCTGGTTGGGCATGTGGGAGGGGAAGAAGCGAAGGACTTTTAGACCATCACATGGGGGATGCAACTGTACACGGATTGGATGTCCATGGTGAAGATGAGGTGTTGGGGGCCAGGGAATTGGAACCCTTGGAGGAAGTGGAGGGCGTGGGTGGTGTCTCGCATGTAGGTGGGGAGTTCCTGGATCAGGGTGGAGAAAACAGAGTCAAGGTAAGTGGAGATAAACTCAGTGGGGCAGAAGCAGGCAGAGACAATGGGTGAGCTGGGACAGTCAGGTTTGTGGATTTTGGGAAGGAGATAGAAATGGGCGGTGTGGGTTTAGGGAACGATGAGGTTGGAGGCTGTGGGCGGGAGGTCACCTGAGGTGATGAGGTTGTGAATGGTTTGAGAGATGATGGTTTGGTGGTCAGGGGTGGAGTCTTGGTTGAGGGGGCGGTAAGAGGAGGTGCCTGGCCTCGGCGAGGTAAAGGTCAGTGTGCCACACCACTACTGCGCTCCCCACTCCCCTCCCCCACCCCTTATCCGTGGGTTTGATAGTGAGGTTAGGGTTGGAATGGAGAGAGTGGAGGGCTGCACGTTCATGGGGGAGAGGTTGGAGGGGGTGGAGAGGTTGAGGCGATTGATGTCTCAACGGCAGTTGAAGATGTAGAGGTCGAGGGAGGGTAGAAGGCCTTGGGGTCGTATCCAGGAGGATGGGGTGTGTTGGAGGCGGGAGAAGGGGTCTGTAGAGGGTGAGTTAGACTCGCAGTTAAAGAAATAGGTGTGTTGGCGGTGGAAAAAGTGTTCGATGTCCAAGCGTGAACAGAATTCATTGATGTGTGGGCGGAGGGGAATGAAGACAAGTCCTTTACTGAGCTCTTACTTTGACTTGACTCCTTTGCTGTAGCATATGTCACTGTTTCAGCAGTATTCCGAGTCCAGAGATTACATCGTGAGAGGATTCAAATACAGGAGCAAGGATGTCTTGCTGTAGCAGTGCAGGGCATTGGTAAGATCACACCTGTATTGTATGCAGTTTTGGTCTCCGTATCTGCGGAAGGATATTTTAGCTATTGAGGGAATGCAAAAAAAGCTTTACCAGACAGATTCCTGGGATGGTAGGACTGATGTACAGGGAGAGACTGGATCATTTAGGACTGTATTCTCCTGAGTTTAGAGGAATGAGGGGTATCTGAGATGTGTGATTTCTGTGAAGAAGAGAGATTGAGTGGCTTAGGCCGATGCTTTCTCTCGTTCGGAAGAATGAGAAGAGATTTAATTGAAGAATATAAAATGCTAAAATGCCTGGGGCAGCACATTTCAGGCATTTAAAACATTGTGTGAAGAACTTGCTCCTCACATCGCCTTTAAACTTACCACTTTTTCCCTTAAACCTTATGGCCCCCAGTAATTGACATTTTACCTGGGAGAAAGACTCTGACTATCCATTCTGTCCATGCCTGTCATAAGTTTGTAAACTTCTATCAAGTCGCCCTTCATCCAAGTGAAAATAAACCAAGTTTGTCTAATCTCTCCTCACAGCTTATACCCTCCAAACCAGGCAAGATCCTGGTAAACCATTTCTGTACCCTCTCCAAAGCCTCCACATTCTCTTTGTAGTGTGGCGACCAGAACTGTGCACAGTATTCCAAATGTGGCCAAATTTAGTTTCTGTGCAGCTGCAACATGACTTGCCAATTTTTATTACTCCATGCCTGACCTGTTTCCCTTAACAAATCCTATTGTAACAAGATCAGATAGGGTAGATACAGGAAGGTTACTCTCTGTGACTGAGGAGTTCAGAACCAGTGGTCACAGCCTCGTGTTAAGGGGTTGATCTTTTAGGATATACATGAGAAATTTCTTCATCCAGTGTGGTGAGCCTGTGGGACACTCTGCCACGGAAAACAGTTGAGGCCGAAGTATTGAATGTTTTCACAGAGGAGTATGACGTATTTGTGGGGTTATAGGGCGAAAGTAGGAACAGGCTACTGAGCTGGATGATCAGACATGAACGTTTTGGATGACAGATCAGGCTCAAAGGGCCAAATGGCCTATTCCTGCTCCAAAATCTGATGCTTATCTTTTCTAAACTGTGGTGCTAAGAGTGAACCCAATACAGCAGCTGAGACATAGCAAGTATTTTATGCAGGCTTACTAACATTGCCTTGCTCTTGTACATGCAACTCTGGTTTATAAAGCCAGACAACCTCACGTGCTTTTGTAACGACCTTCTGAGCTTGCCCTGCCATCTTGAAAGATTGTGGCCGTACGCTATCACTTATCCCTGATCCCACACCGTTGAAACTGTTATCTAACATGTACTTCCGTCTTTTTCTTCGGCCAAATTAATCAACGGAGACTTCTTTACATTAAATTTAATCATTTGTGGGTCTGCAGGGTCTGTAAGCTCAGTAGGGTATGTCCTTCTGGCACCAACACCTGGGGAATTTGGGGCACACCTTGCTCTTCCCCCTTTCCTGTGCTCTCTCCCTCGTGAAAAACAACTTTTCACCACTACTCCCTGCTTTCTGTCCCTTAGTGTGATGTTCATGCAGCCACTCTGTTAAGCCATGTGCATCAGTTTTGCTGACAAGCCTGTTATGACCTTATCAAATGTTGTATGTTAAATGTCAATGTCCTTACCTTTGTCCATCCTGGTATTTCATCAAAGAGTCCGATAAATATAATTTGCCTTTTCAAAAAAAAAAAGCTTTTTTTCCTCCTTCCTTTTTCAATTTATTTAATTGTTTTAATATTTACTTCCCTTCCCTAACCACGTTGCATTGACATTGAATTTTACTTGTTATTTCTAAGTCTAACTCCCTAATCTAGTCTCACCCACATTCACTTGATCAATCTGCTAGTGATTACTTCTCCTCCTTGGTGTAATCAATATGATTTGACAGATTTGTTTCTGTGCCCACACTTCATGCAGTGATACTTTGAGTACATGCTAGTCATTTCCTGCCATCCATGTATGGCCATTCTCTGACTCACTTGGACAAAGCCAGTTGCCAGTCCATTTCCATTTGTTACAATCCATCTATTCTGTGCTGTTTACTTTGAGGACCAAACCACGGTTTAAAAAGGAGGCAGACAAAAGGTGGGCAACTATAGGCCTGTTAGCTTAGCTTCTGTAGTGGGGGAAAATCTTTGAATCTATCAAAGAAGAAACTCTGCTTTCTGTTAGTTTACCAATCTTCTGTCCATGCTAATACATTACCTGTAACACCGTGCACCTTTGTCTTATGCAGCAGCCTATTGTGTGGCACTTTGTCGAATGCCTTCTGGAAGTCCAGATACACCACATCCACCGTTGAATTTCTCAATGTCCTCAAAGAATTCTAGTAAATCAGTTATGCACGACGTGCCTCTCATGAACCTATGCTGCATGGGACAATTTCTATCTAGATGTTTTGCTGTTTCTTCTTTGATAGATTCAAACATTTTCCCCCACTACAGAAACTAAGCTAACAGACCTGTAGTTGCCTAGCTTTTGCCTGCCTCCTTTTTAAACAGTGGCGTCACATTTACTTCTTTATAGTTTGACAGAACCGCTCCAGAGTCCTCCAAAGTTTGGTAAATTACCACAAGTGCATTTGCAGTTTCCCCGCCACCACTTTTAGCACCCTACTTGTCTACCTTTAGTCCCATAAGCTTGCCCAACATCACCTCTTTAGTGATAATGATTGTTTCCAGGTCCTCATCTGCCATAGCTGCCTTGTCATCAATCATTGGCGTGTTATTTATGTCTTCCACTGTGAAGACCAACACAAAATACCTGTTCAACGCCTCGGCCATTTCCTAATTTTGCATTATTTGATCCCCGTTCTCATCCTCTAAAGGACCAGTGTTTACCTTAGCCACTCTATTTCATTTTATACCTTCAGAGTGTATCAAGCTACAAGGTGAAGCAGTCATGATGACCGATGAATCTAGGCCATCTAAAGGGAAACCAAGAATGTACAGCTTCCACACAATAGGAAAATGAATCCCTGTTCGCAACTGTGAAAGAGGAGAGCATTCATCATATATGTCACTGGAGTATATCAATAAATAAAAATGGGAATTTAGGACAATATCACACAGTAAAATAAATGAGCAGATCATTTTCCCTTGAACAGCATGACTCGCACAAAGGCAGTTGACAAGCTGAAAGCTCAACAATAAGGAAAAACCTTTCCATTTCCTATCACTTTTTTTTCCACTTCAAGGTCCACAAAAAAGTCACCTTCATGCTTTTGGGCCTCTGTCAAATGAGTAACTGGTTAACTTCCAGTGACAAAAAGAGCAGTGCATTTCACCAGACTTTTAAAAAAAAACCCTCTATTATGAAGCACATTAGAGACATGCTGTGAAATATGAGCACAGTATTTGCAGATTAATTGTCTCACTTTGTTTAATGCTATTAATTTTGTCTTGAGTGGTGTGAAGCTGTGACTTTAAACATGCAACTTCTAGACATTGATTCACATTTATGATGAGATTATTATTTTTCCTTTTTCAGTCCCTTGAACCGAGATTGGAACACTGATCGCAGCTGGAAGATGGATGGATTTCAAGATCGGTCCTGGCAAGGAAGCGTTGATAGTGGACTGATGTCAAGGGATCATTGGCAAAGTAAAACTTGACACTTAAATGATGTTTCTGAATAATTTGGTAAAAAGAAGTGCTTTTCATACTTATTCCATCTCTAAGGCAAATTCTACAACTTCATAATTTCTGAAGATATAATTAGTACGCAGCAATAGTTACCATCTTTAATGGTCAAAAGGGAAAGTGATCTCAGTGTACTGAAAATTGGGACATTTGAGTTAAGTGTGAATCTATTATTCCCACTTGTCAATAAGGTGTTTACTATAGCATATAGATTTAGTAATCATTAAAAGAATAGTGAAGGGTGACTTTGGGAACTATTTCAAACCCAGAGACTTATAAGATGGAATGCCGTAACATCTTTAGTGGTAGATAAATTCAGAAAGTTATGAATGGATGTGGGGCTGCAAGGAGGAATGAACTGACCATGGTACTGTAGCGCTGGATGCCGTTCATATGGGGCAGGTTAATCAGAGTATCCTGATAGTGTGAGGCAGAGTAGTCTGAGAGGTAGGCCCTTTTTTTGGCTGCAACGTGCATGAATCCGGGTAGCTGTGATGCCTACACAGTGCCAGAGTTCAGGATATTTGCTCTGGTCTGCATAGGAACTAGCAGTGGGGAGGGAAGATCTGATTGTTGTGGTCCGTATGTGTGCCAACAATGTAAGACTAGGAAGGAAGTTCTCTGTAGGCATTCAGCAGCTAGGGGCTAAGTTAAGAACCAGAATGTTAAAAGTGGTATCTGAATCACAAGGAAATTAACATAGGGTACATGCAAACATATGAGGAACAAGTGTAGGCCACTCAGCCCTTCAAGCCTGCTCTGCTATTCAATAAGATTATGGCTGATCTGACTTGAAGCTCAACTCTACATTCCTGCATACCCCTGATAATATTTCATTCCCTTGGTGATCAAGAATCAATCTACCTCTGTCCTGAAAAATATTTAAGGATACTGCATCCACTGCCTTTTGAGGAAGGGAATTCCAAATACTCTCAACCCTCTTGAGAGAATAAAGTGTTTCCTCATCTCTGACTTAAATGGCCGACCCTGTATTTTTAAATTACGAGCCCTCATTCTAGATTTCCCACAAGAGGAAACATCCTATCCCCATCCACCTCAGGATGTAAAGTCACCTCTGACTCTACTAAACTCTAAGAGTTCGGGCCTACCCTGCCTAACCTTCCTTCATAAGGCAGCCTACTGCTTCCAGGTGTTTAGTTGAGTACACCCTCTGTGTGAATTGCTTCCAGCATTCTATAACTATGGTGATCAGCACTGCATATGGTACTCCACATGTGGTCTCACCAATGCCCTGTATAATTGGACCATGACCACCCTACTCTTGCAATCAGTTCATTTTGCAATAAAACAAAATTCAGTAGTGTTCCTCATTACTTATTGTACCTGCATTTTAATTTTCTGCAAATCATGCAGGAGGGTACCAAGGTATCTCTGTGTCTCAGAGCTCTCCAATCTCTCACCACTTAGATAATATGTTGCTTTTTCCATTTTTCTGGGATACCGATATTCAGTATAGGGAAGAGTATTGAGGATAACAGACATCTATGACTGCAGCATTTTTGACGTTCAGGGTCTTGCATTATATCCCAACTCAAATTGAAAATCTATGTGTTGCCAACCAACAACTGTGTTGCAGATACTCTGGAGTGTTGAAGCTTGGAGTTCTTGGTAAGTCAACAGTTGATGGCAACAATATATGAACTCCTAACAGTTTGGGAAATCTATCTGAAAGGGAACTGGGATTGGAGCAAATGGACAATTGAAATCTTTCCTACACGTAGACTCTGGAATGAAGAAAGGTGATTAAATCCCATCACAGTTACATATCTGTCTCTACAGAGGGAGTTTAAACTTCAGATTAACGTGAACTGTTATAATTGTGCATGTTATATAACTTGGCAACTAGCAATCATTTATATGACTACCTATCTGCTGTACTGTTGTCGTGCAGGTGTATGATTCGAAATAGCATGTTGATATATGTTGCTTCAGTGTCCCGCGGATATATATCATTTACAGAGTAAAGACCGTACCTGGAATCTCATCTACTGCACTGACCCAGAGATATTAGTTTAATTGTGTATTCTTAAGAGGATTTCATTTGTAAGGCTGATGGTAGATCTGATTGAATAATCTGTACAAAAGATGTTTGCAGCAGTAATACTTGAGATAAAAGATTATTGAATTCATGTGTTGTATAACAAAACATTGAATTTGTCGAAACATACTGGTAAAGGCTGAAATTTTGTAACTGTTGGGCCATGTTTACTGTAGGTGTAATTGGTGATTCACTGTCTTGTATGTTCCCTGAAGTGATTGAGTATTTTTTGCTTGATTAATTGAGTGTGTGAAAACTCTGTCACTAACCCATCGCTGTTGCAGGTGGCGATCGGGGCATGTCTGGCCCATCTGGGACAGGTTACAATATGCAGAGAGGAGGTGGAGGAGGAATGCAAAAGTAAGTAGCCCAAAATCACATCTTAGCTACACTTGTAAAAATATAAGCCAACTAAGATCTTAGTAAAAACACTGACTCCTGTCTTTTTGGAGTCTGGTTTGATAAAAGTTTCCATCAATGTCCTTTATTTAAAATCTGGCTATGTGGATAAGCACTGCCAGCATTTAAACCTTCCTGTGTTGACCATTTCTTTTCTTCTAATTTCCAGTGTAACTCTTTTCCATTACGTAAGCACGTGTTTCATGTAGGACAGCTTTGATGCTGTGACTTGAAATGGAAATTGTAATTTCAGTATGCTTTTCTGTGCAACAGCTATTTTGTAATTTTGATGTTTGTTCATGTTAAACAATCTCTCACTGTATTTTTAACCAAGTTCCAGTTTAACTTTATATTGGACTGTAACTTCAATCAGAAATAATTGTAATATGCTTCAGAATAAGCTGGATTTAAGTCTGTATGAGCATCTTGTATGCGGTTTTCCAACACTCCCCTCAAAACCATGATGGCAGACTTTGTTATATTGTGGGCTGCGTTTACCTGTAGTGGAACAAAAGCAGTTTACTATCCATCGTGCCAAAACTTTTTATTTCTGCCCTAAGAAACATTTCAAAGCACAGACCAATCAATTCAAAAGAAAATAATCTTTTTATTTAGTTTCCAGGGCATTTAATTTACTCTGCCTGTCTTTTGTTTTCTCCCTGACTTGTTTGTGGACTTTTTTTCTGTTCTGCTGAAGGTTTGCTGTGTGAACTTGTCAATTCTGTACAGTGAGTCTGCTCTCTCTCCTTGAGCCAGTGTTAATATGGACCGCATTGCCGCATGCATGTCCAGTCCCCCTTTATACCTTACTGCTGAAAACACTCTTGCTAATGCACTCCCTGGGTCAAGAGCACAGAAACATGTAGAGGTAAACCATGAACATGACGTTGGCAACCAAAGTCATCGACTTCATTACTGGGCAGTGGGCTGATTTTGTGTGACGTACCTTCAGATAATAGTTAAATCTATAACAGAATTGACATCTGTGAAATGTATTGCTCAGCTCACTACTGGTAAAAGCTTGTGTTGTCAGTCTATGGCAGAGCCTTGATGTGCCCCTGTCTCAGATATTCTTGGCTTGTTCCTAAACATAATTGAACAGCATCACAGCCATGTAAAGTATGGACTGATACTGAAAATAATGAGACACACTTCTGGAAGGGAATCTTACTCATCAGTATAACTTTTACTGAAATTCAGAAGTTGTTTGAATGCTGTAATATGCTGCCTAGTTGCTCACGTTGCTGAATTTCTTCATACCTGTCATTAGAACCCGGATCAGATGCATTGATAGGAGTGCCTGGTAGTCCATTACACAGAAATTCACTCACACGTCTGAGAAATTGTGCTGAAGGGGATGGAAACTGTAACACTTCTCCAAAAAAAGAGAGATAAACCAAGTTAGTGCAGGTAGTCAATACAGATCTGTGAAGAATAAATCACCTTAACTAATTTGGTGCTTAAAATTATCAAATCTAAACAATTTCAAAAGCACAGGATAGAGTGCCACATAAGTTTGGAGTAAAGATTAAATCCCATATAATTGGAGGTGAAGTACTGGTGTGGGTAAAGAAAGGGCTGAATGATAAAAAGCATTTAACAGCATAGAAACAGACCTGGTTATTACTGCACTTCATATGTTTATACTTGACACAAGCCTCCTCTTAGCTTACTTGATCGCACCTTATCAACATTTTCTTCTATTTTTCCCATGCATTTATCTAATTTCCCTGGCAATTATCCGGAGTGAACAGAATGTGGAAATGGTTCAGGTCTCGATGAGACTAGAAGATAGCAGCATTAGGTCATTCAGCCCATTGATTCTGCTCCACCGTTTGATCACAGCTGATATATTTCTCAACCCCATTCTCCTGCTTTCTCCATGTAACTCTTGATCCCTTTACCAATCAAAAACCCATCTATCTTTTTGTCTTAAGTACACTTCATGACTTGGCTTCCACAGCCCTCTGCGGCAATGAGTTCCATAAATTAACCACCCTCTGGCTGAAGAAATTCCTCCTCATCTCAGTTCTCAAGGGACGTTCCTTCACTCTGAGACTGTGCACTTAGGCCCTAGTCTCTCCTGCTAGAGAAAACATCATCTCCATGTCTACTCTATTCGGGCCTATTAGTATTCTGTAAGTTTCAATCAGAATTCATCCCCACCCAAATTCCTTCTAAAACCTCCTCTGGTTCTGTCCAACACCAGCACGTAATTTCTTAGATACAGGCCCAAAACTGCTCACAATATTCCAAATGCAGTCTGACTAGGGCCTTGTACAACCTCAGTGAGATATACTGAGTTCTGAGGAATGGTCACCAGACCCGAAACGTTAACTGAATTTTTTCTTCACAGATGCTGCCAAACCCACTGAACTTTTCCAGCAACTTCTGTTTTTGTTCCTCAGTAGGACAACTCTGCTGTTGTGATTTAGCCCTCTTGTAATCAATGCTAACATTGCATTTACCTTCCTAACTGCCAGCTGAGCCTCCCATGTTAACCTTAAGAGAATCTTGAACTAGGACTTCCAAGTCCTTTTTTGCCTCACACTTCTGAAGCTTTTCCCCATTTAGAAAGTAGTCTATGTCTCTGTTATTCCCACCTAACACTTTCCCATGTTGTATTCCATTTGCCACTTCTTTGCTCACTCTCCTAGTCTGTCCAAGTCCTTCTCCCGCCTGCCCACTTCCTCAACACAACCTGACCCTCCACCTTTCTTTGTGTCATCTGCAAACTTAACAACAAATCTTTTGGTTCCTTTGCCAAATCGATCATGTATGACGTGAATAGTTGTGGTCCCAACATGAATCTCTGTGGGAAAAGCTCAGCAGGTCTGGCAGCATCTGTGAAGGAAGAAAAGAGTTTACGCTTCGGGTCCGGTGACCCTTCCTCAGAACAGCTCTGAGGAAGGGTCACCGGACCCAAAATGTTAACTCTGTTTTTTTCCTTCACAGATGCTGCCAGACCAGCTGAGGTTTTCCAGCAACTTCTGTTTATGTTCCTGATTTACAGCATCTGCAGTTCTTTTGGTTTTTATGAACCTCTGTGGCACTCCACTACTCACCAGCTGCCATCCTGAAAAAGACTTCTTTATCCTGACTCTCTACCCCTGCTTGTCATCCAGTTCTTTATCCATTCCAGTATCTGGCCTCTGACACCATGGGCTAATATCTTGGAGATAGCAAGAACTGCAGATGCTGGAGTCAGAGACATCACAGTGTGGAGCTGGAGGAACACAGCAGGTCAGGCAGCATAAAGGAGTAGGAAAGTTGATGTTTCAGGTCAGGACCCTTCTTCAGAAATGGGGAGGGGCGTGGGGGCTGGGAAATAAATAGAGAGAGGAGGGGTGGGAATATGAGATAGTAGGAACTGCAGATGCTGGAGAATCTGAGACAACAAGGTGCAGGGCTGGATGAACACAGCAGGCCAAGCAGCATCATGCTGCTTGG